GTGAGGCAGATGCAGGTCTGTGGTTTTCTTTGGCATCCTACAGAAAAAATGAATATGAAAAAGTCATTCCTGGAACCCACAGCAGGAGTAGTAGGGTAAAGAACCTTCCAAATCTCACAGCTTTGGAGTGCTGTGCCTTCAAAGTCATGAGTCACTTTCCTTAAGGTGTCATTGAGTAATGGCTGACTGAACCAACAGATTCCAGCATAGAGCAGTTCAGCTGAAATATGATGGAAACAGCCAAAACTCCAAAGGCAGACGATAATGCTAGTGATAATTTCACGTAACACACTAAATTAATGGTGACAGAGACTCCTCAGAGCCCTGGCAAATTGGAAATTGCTTGATGCAGAAGCAGCACAATGATAACACAGTTAATCTTCTGCAGGGAAATGATAGTAAAAGAAATAGCTTTTAGATTAGCTGTCATTAAGGTGAAACATCTGCCTCTGCAAGTCAAGTGGAATGTCCTCACTTATGCACACGGAAACTCATTAAAGTTACTGGGTTTGCAGGGCTGTAAGCCAGAGCCAAATTTCCACCATGATCTAAATCTGGGAAGCACAATGAATTAGACTGAAAGTCAGGAAGATGACTTCCTAGGCAATATGTCATCTTCAAAAATGTTTGATCAGTTGTTGAAGTTGGCTGATGTGTTTAGATTCTCTTAGAACCTGTGAGCACATAACTAATGGAAATAGGAAAAATAAATGTGAGTGATATGATTTTAAAGGAAATAAAACCTTTTGAGATCATAAAAGTTCAAAGTTTAGCTCTGTCTGAACTCTGAGGAAAACTTCCAGTTGAATATTTAATTCCAAACAATTTGCCATAATTTCTAAGGTTTTCTTTGCCTGCTGGACTGCAGAGCATAAGGTCAGGAAACTTAACTCGTGTAACTCTATTTGTGATGCAAATGTTTTCACATCTGATTTTCCTTTTATATTCTTGTAAGGAATGTTGAATACCTCATAGAGCCAAGACTGACAGGCAATCATTTGTGTAGAAACAGTCAACCATGACTTCAAAGTTTTCTTTCATTATTCCTTACCTGGTGACAATGTGCAACAAGGTAGTCTTTCTGCAATTATTACAGCCTGACTGCTGCAGAATGCTTTAGAGGAATAAAATTCATAGGGAGCAAAGAAATATTTGGTACTGTCTGTATACAGCTAAGAGATGAATAAACTACAGATATTTCATCTTTCCTTGGGATAAATGTAGCTTCGAGCTGGTTTACAAATAAATGAGTATCCAGTTCCAATATTTACATAGTTTATCAGGCTATATTCTCTTCTTGATTACATTAGTGTTGATTCATATAAATACACCTGAATTATTTGGTTATCTAACATTTACAGCAGCATGCCATAAGAATGTGTCCCAGAGCACACTGAACAAGAGATTTTCAAGGAGTAAGTGTTACAATAGAGTTCCTTCTCTAAATAACTTCAGCCATCGGCTGCACGTACAGAAAGAGGGATGTGTCTCAAAGCAGTTGGAAAGAGCTCCACAATCTTGATGAATTGCAGCTTAACTTTAAAGAAACATACAGAAATGACCAATACAGGTTTTCTATCCAAATTCTTCAGTCTGGAAGAAGTGGAAACAATATCCTGTTAGAAAATGGCAGGTATATAATGAAGTAGGCGATTCAGCTGAGTGGTCTCAGATCCTGACATGGGTATGGCAACAGATAAGAATGAGATTTATCAGCCTGGAGGGGAAGGAGATGTTTGTTGATAAATATTGATAGATGTCTGGTGCATAACTATTGCTGGCGGGGGAGACTGGGCTGAAAGGGAAGCAGCCAAAGCTAGCTAGCTCCCTAGAGAGAACAATGCCCTCTCAGCTGATTGCTGCCATAGCTCGTTTAACATAGCAGCAGTCTGGGTGGAGTCAGGCTCAAGTGCAATGATCCTCTTTAGGCATCTGAAATGGTCTTCGTGGCCTCACTGGCATCGAATGAAAAATCATAATTAGCCTGAGTTATAACTGAAAGCAGTGATGCTGACTGTCCACAGAAATGCTGGGTACTCAGAAAGGACTCCTGCAAACTGCAGCATGTTGTTTTTTTGAAAGATAGCATCTTCTGGCAAAGCACAGTGTGATGTGGAGTGAGTGGTGGAGGTATGTGGATGCACAGGCGTAGGGATGCTTTTGGCCATTAGGTGCGTGGGCTGGGCAGTAGATGAATAGATGGGTCACATTTAATCCTGTCTGCTCCCCAGGACTCCAGGGAATGACTCAGAATGGGTTGTGGTGAGTGTGAAATTGTGCTAGGCATGCATAATGCCATAATGCTGCTAATCAAACCCCTCTCACTGTGACTAATCAAAGATCTATTTGATATTCCAAGAAATTAGTTGGAAGAGCAAGCACGTAATGGAGAAATAAAGAGCAAATCAGAAGCTTAGGCACAGGCAAAGATAAGGACTTTGATCACAGTAGTTTAGTGAGCACAAAAAGAGGACAGAAAAGATAAAAAGAAACAAATAAAAATGCTGATGAGAACAGCTAAGATCTGCTGAGAGAAGCAGCCATTCATCTAGACCACGAGGAACAGATAAGAAGTTATGTGCCTTCCTGGTGCTTAAAGAAACAGCCGCTGTAGGTACCTGAAAACAAGCTTTTCCTCAGCATAACTGTATTGCAGTCTTGCAGGGATGCATGTGGTCCTCACTTCACTAGAAATTACATAGAAAGCTGGTATTGCTGCTCTCAGCAGAGAGGCTATTAATCCAGTAAGCTATGTGCAGTGGTTTTGATTTAAATGCTGATTCTTCCTTTATACAATATTTGTACTGATATTATTCCTATCTGTCAGCATGGATAAGTGGGGGGAGAACCAGATTCATGTTCTCTCTGTAATGATGTTTCACTTGAGAGTTTAAGTGGTAACTGGACAATGCCCTTAATAATATGCTTTAACTTCTGGCCAGCTCTGAAGTGGTCAGTGACCTACAGGTCACACACATGGTGACTGTAGGTCCTTTCCAGCCAAAACTATTCTATTCTAAAAGCCAGAGAAGGATCAAACTGCTAAAGAAATAAACTATTGCGTGACTGACACTGAACCAAACCTGCAACTAACAGAGACAATGCTAACAGTATAGCAATGTGAAGCTGTAGAGAGACTTATTATTCCAGTCAATCAAAAACCCAAAATAAAAATCAAGAAAAAAAAATTCCAAAGCCTTAACAACTGCTTCTCAAAGATTTCAGCATGAGACACAGAGAAATTCCCATCTGTTGATTACTATTTGAAGACAAATCATCAGAATTCTTTCTTTCAGCTTGCAAATGTAGCCAACAGTGGTTTAAGGATATAATTTCATGCTTGGAAAGAAACTATCCTATAGCATCTTGATGCCAATTATGACCAAAAAGTACTCATCAGTGTCACTAGGACTAAAATCAGAGTAACTTTTCTTAAATTTGAAAGGAAAGAAGCCCACTCTTACCTGTGCTGTTAGAGAAGAAAAAAAGGAGCATGCAGAGAAGAAAAAGATGTGAGGGTACAGATGGTATCATTGCTTATGGGGTTGATTGCATGGCTGGGCTGGTGAATGAAGTTTCACTCTGGAATGTTGCTGTTCAGAAAACAAGGTAACAAAAAAGAAAATGTTCCATTTCCCTTTCATCCCAATCAAAGCAGGAGAGCAGTTCTCTGTGTTGCTTTAATCTTTTGTTTTCAATAGCAGTTTCTATTTTCCTCCACAGTTGTATTATCACACTCCAAAAACATTGGGACAAACTCACTTGGAGCAGTCAAAACAAATATATGTCTGTTGTTTTGGGCCCCATCTCACTGTTTCCTTTTTGTACAGCACAGGCACACTGCCTTCAAATTAAGCTATAGACTCTTCGCACAGATAAAACACCAAACAATGCAGAAATTGGGTATATCAGCACTATCTCTCTGCTGCCCCCTAAGTCTAGTTGTCCCTACAGGTGGTGAAGCTATTTTTGTGACAGCAGGCAAAGCCCTTCAGAGCATGTGAGCTGTTGATTCCCATGCTGTCCAGCACGGATGATGAAGAGCAAGTGCTGAATCACTGCAGAGCAATCACATCTTGGCTGTTGCCTCCAACCCCGACCTCCTACTCGTACATTGATCATTTCTTGATTAGTTTATGCTCCAGTGCTGTCTTCTGTGCACAGATATCCAGGAGTGCAAAAGATAATATTTAGCAGGCTCTTGTAAACACCCCTACTGAGATATTATCTCCATTATCTACACTGGCAAACTGAGACGCAGGGATCTGGAAGTCCAAGGTGAAGTCTGGAGTATAGCTGCCTGTGTGTCCCAGATAACAGGGTATTCATCACTAGATTGGATGTTTCATCTCTTGTTGAGTCTCATCCTTCATATTATCTATGTTCCCTGGGACAGAAAAACAGTTTACTTGGTGTTTGTACTGTTCCTACTCCCCTCTATCGGTCTGATCATTGCAAATCCATTGGACTGAGGCAGTTCTTTCCATTTGGGAGTGGGTGATCTGAGCGGTGTAACACCTATGGTCCTTCACAAATATAAAACATCAAAATTTTACTTCTGACTGATCTTTTTGACTGGCCCATAAAAATAAGGCTACTTAATTGAACAGTATGTGGTAAAGCTAATCAAATAAATAGCAAGGAAATACAGGATTATTGTTCATAACCTGCGAGCTGTTTGAATGTTTTCCTTCACTATGATTGGAACCCGTGTGTTAATTAGTTCAGTTTAGCTAGACAAACACTTTCTCCACAAGGAGGATTTTACATACATCCACAATAATATTAAAGAACACTGAATACTGCAGTTTGCCTTTTCCTCATAGGTTTCTTGGTCAGTTTTGTTTCCCTACCTGAAATTTTCTACTACTAATCTTGCTGTGCCATGTTTGGTGCCATGTCTATTGCATATTTATCATGAGCTTCTCATCTTTCCCTTATTCTTGCAGCCTTACAAACTACAAAGCAATCAGACACTGAAAAACGCCCAAACTGATACATTAATGTATGCTGCAGCTTGATGCCTCTCGCTTAAGTCTTGTTTTCAGCTTTTTAAGTTCAGCATTTTGATCAATTTTAAGACCATAGTCTGTGATTTTCCAGGCCTCTTCATAATGCTTCATTTCAAAATTATATTGTGCAATCTTATGAAATGTTTTGGTTAAAATTTCACTGCCAGGGCGATTCATGATGCTGCACAATGCCATAGATTCGTCTAACTGCAGTGCCTCAATATACTGCTTAACTGCTGCTGCTTCTTCAGCCAGTGCCAATAGCAGGTGTCCTTTCGAGCAGTGGTCCTCGACGCGTGTTTTAAGGCTGCTCCGGCCGTGCTTCTGGATCACTTTCTCCATATCTTTTAAAGCTCTGTCATATTTTTTCAGGTGTGTAAGGCAAGCAGCTCTCTGTCGGAGATACCTTGGATTATCTTTGCTTGTCAAGATGGCCAGGGTGTAATAACCAAGAGCCTTCTCATAGTGATGCTCTTTAATCAGCACATTTCCTTCTTGGGCTGCTACCTGTGGATAGAAAGTTACTTAATATTAGTTATTAAAAGTGGAAAAAAAAAAAAAAAGAGTAAAATATCTAGTCTGGACTGGCCACAGTTAAGACACTAAGAAATTTTAGATACTTTTTCAAATGCTGAAATTGCATCTAGTTGGAGAACATATAATTGGCGTATTTTTTTCATGCAGATACAAAAATCTTGGCTTGATATGCACTTGCTGTTATCTCAAGAGTTTCTCAACCACTCTTCTTTGTTTCTGTATGTTTTGCTAAAAACACTTTTTCTGAAGTTGTTTACATTCCTTAGGAATGATATGTGAACTGAAAACTGAATGGACCAAACTCTGAAAGTAGAGTGTGTTCCTTTCTTGAAACCCCATTTCTCCATTGGTCTGCTCTAGCAGGTGACTATATGGAAATTGCATCTTCTGGTCCATACACAGTAGCCCCATGTTCTGCCCCACACATATTTGCATGTGCTAATAATGAAGGTTGGTCTCTACTGAAGTTTTACCCAAGCTATAGGAAAAAATTGCCAACTGATGGCTTTGCTAATTATTAATCTCAAGTGCAAGTGAACTATCTGCTCTTGTCTGAAGGGAAAAACAACAACAAGAAAATAGAGAAGGCAGAAAGAGCCACATCATTTTTAGGTTCATAAAGGTCAATAAAGAAAACTCCATTAGAATTATTTGCTTCAAATGGATTTCTCATTATTTCCCTTTATTGGTAATAAACAGAGCTTTTAACATGCTGCGGCAGAGTGGATATTTAAGTTATAAACAAGGCTGCTACCAGCAGCTTAGGTCTTACAGAAGCCTGAGCCAAACAAGCTGAGACTTCAGGCACAGGATAAATGTTTTCACCAGTCTAATTCCGTGGGATATCACACACTGCCTTTGGATGCTGGTGGCTCCCCAAAATTCAGTTAGCCCAGCCACTGTCTCTGTAGCCACACTTGACAGCCAGCTCACGTCTTCCAGTCTCTTTGTGTGCCTTATCTTTTTATTTTGGTTGACCTAGATTAGAATTGATTGCTGTTTAACAGAACTAAGGTAAACAGGTTCTGGATGAACTGGATCAATATTGTAGGTCAAGTCTGAGCATCTCATTTGAGACCAGTGGCAAGAAAGAATTTAGCCATTCCTAACAGTTTATGAAGAATTCTACCCCCATTTTTTTGCTATAAAGGAATGTAAAATGTTTTATGTAGCCATATTTATTAGTCTCCCAGCTTCCACACACAGAAATAGAGATAGGACCTCTCCCCAAATAGTGTCAATCACTGTCTTTAATAGTTCTGGCTGTAAATTGTAAGGCAGTCTGTCCAAAAAATGTCAGGTGTCTGTTTGTGTATGCATTTGAAGTTACCTCACTGTGTCATAAAGGACTGAGAATTCACATATTTTTGTTGCATTTTTGGTTCCAGTCCCTAGTGACTGATCATCTGTGGAAATCAACCACAGATCAATTCCTTGGAAAGAAAATGAGTGAGGAGTTTAATGGATGTGGAACTATGGCCAAGGGTTAGTGTCTGAGCAGTAAATATAAATACCAGGAGATGGACTGATAAGCAGTGAGCTTTGGAAGAGGGCTGGATGTTTTCAGAACAGTTTGGAGCAAGTCTTTTCCTTCTCTGGATTTGGGATCCACAGGCATGTGGAATGGCAACTTCCACCTTGGGCTGATGGCCTAATTCTGACACAGACCATATAGCTCTTGAGAGCATTTCTGTAGGAGTCAGCTCCGGATGTCCTATGGCATGTCAGCAGCAAGTGCAGCTCTGAGGATCTCAGCAAGGAGATTGCAATCAGTCATGCATTTAGCCTTTGACTTAGGAAACTGAAGGGTTGAAGCTGCACTAGCAGCAAGCAAACTCCCTTCCTCTGACCTTTGCAGTTTAATAAATCTTTCAGATTCCTATTCCCATGTGGCTCTCCCAGTTGTTTACAAATTTCTTAGCATGGGACCCCTTCGACTATAAATAATGAAAGAATTTTATTGCTTTGTTTATCATGAAAAAAATCAGTACATCAAGGAGCTCTCCTTCCTCCACCCTTTCCTATTCAGCTTATGTAGAATTATTTTTAGCTTCTCAGACCAGACTCTGGGATAATGATGACACACTTCTATAGTACCTGTAATCTCCAAACACTCTGAAACAATGTGGCAGTGATATTTTTGTGTGTGGAGCACTGAGGCTGAGGGTAAATCACTAAACTCTTCTTTGCTTCAGTCTCTTTATTTGTGAGATAGAGATGACAGAATGAACACCATCCCCTGGAGTGTAGTTAAGAGCCATGGCAAAGTAAGACCATCATTGGGGGTTTTGGCACTAATTCTGTCTGTAAGCTTTTTTGCTTTTACTGAGATCTTCCTTTCACACACAACCTGGAATAGCCTTGCAGGCAAAAGGAAGTGCTACTGGAAAATCCTTTGAGACATGGGGCAGGTGAATTAACCAATTCCTTCCCCATCCCACCAAAGTGCATACTTATCCCTTGTCACAAAATACATATTAAAAAAAAAAAAAGTGATTCTGGGCTAATCAGTAATAAAAGTAATCACAATCAATAAATCTTTGAAGATTAGAGAATATGGAAAGACTCACAGGTGTTGGAGTCCAAATATTTACTCAGTTGAACAAAAGCACAAGTTTAAAGATTAAAAAAAAAAGAAAAAAAATCACTCTATTTGACTTCCAATGTTGGTATTGAGTTCCAGTCTTGAAACCAGTCCAGCCACACCTATTCTCTCAAGTGGCAGAAAAATCTTTCATGATAAATAAGCCACCAGTAAGGGGTTTTAGTCCAGAGCTTGTTCCACAGCTGCCAAAAAAAGACAGAAATAAAGTGCCTCTCCTGTTTTAAAGGTTTCACTAATCTGTGGTACCAGTGAGTTCCTCATATTTAAGTGTAGTTTAAGCTGTACAAAAATTTGTTTGAGGTTGTTTTTTTCCTTCCTCTCTCTTTTTTTTCTTACTGACAGCATAAGAAAATCCTTCCTTTGTTTTCTCAAAAAGCAGCACAGAAGGATTAGCTGTAAGAATTCCATACAGAGTAAGTGATGTAGCAAGGGAAATTCAGCTGTAAAACCTGTCTTCATTTACAGACACTTCCACAGACACATTCTTGATTGTACCTTTATCAACTTTACATAGTGAAAAATTGCAAATTGGCTCTAAAATCTTCAAGCTCTTCCCTTTAAGACTGAAGTTTTTACATTATTCAGAAGAGAGGGGCTCTCTTCTCTGTAATGGGGTATATCTAGGGACCAGTAAATTAATACTTGTTTACTTATATCCTCCTGCTGTTTTGCTAAAATACATACAAAGTACTCTTCTCAAGATGCATTAAGTATATCAGCATGTTGTTTGTTTTATAACCTGGGAGAAAGCATAACAATATAGCTTCTCACCAGGGTGCACCCAATCTACAAATTGAATAAAAGGAAGCAAACTGATTCTCAGAACATGGAGCTTCTGGGTAATCAGAACTGCAGATGCTTGAGTGAATCTTAAAACTCCTCACCATCAATCTGACCTTGTCCTGTCTTATTACTGGAGATGACTTCTCAGAGCTGGTTGTATTTAGTGGGAGAAACTTGAAAAAAATACTGTAAAATGCATACTTGGGTGGACTAGAGCAATGTGCCATTTTTGTGTCAAACAGTTTCAGCTAAGAAAACCAACACCAACCTCAAAGGCTAGTCGTTCTATAATAATGTGAATATATTTAAATCTCTAAATGTTACAAGAAAGAGCTAAAAGGATTGAAGCATTTCATGTGACTGAATCGGAACCTGCAGTTTAATTTCTCAAGAAAATTAACAAAACGTGAGTTCTCTTTCCCCAGAAGCCAGCTGTGAGCACCATCTAACTCATACAGAGTACAATACTAGCAATGATCTTAGATCTCTGCTGCCACTCACATGCCCTGCATTTTAGTGTTGGGATTAAACAGGTCACTTGCTAGGGAGACCAACAAGAAATTCCCCCAGGTGGTAAGAAGTGATAATGATGAATTATTAAGAGACTGAAGCAAGGTCACTTCAATGAAAGAAGTTTGGGTTCAACTTCCTAATCTGTCTGGAGTGAAGGCTGGAGGAAGAAGCCAATTTGTTTCTTGTTCATCTGATAAATGGTCTTCTCACACTTCTCTCACTTCTGTTCAAGACAAGGCAGGGAAAATCTCTGCAGCCTAATTTTGCTTCCCATTTCTTTCCCCACTGAATCAAAAAAGGATTGTACCTGAGAGAGTTGCTGCTGTTGCTTAGCATCTACGAAGTTCAGGAGAAATCCCAGCTCCTTTTCATCTATCCTAGCTAGCATGCTGAATGAGTGAGCTGCCACTGGCATGTTCTTCTTCAGCTGCAGCACAGCTAGTCTTGCACTAGCAAAGTCATCAACGAGGGAGTGGCGAAATGCCTCCCGAAGGTGATCAAGGGCCTCTTCATACCTTCCTGTTGATTAACACCAGTACAAGCTATATAACCCATGCCATATGGAGAAAGAGACATCAAGAAAACCTACTAAAGCAGGATTTAGGTAGCCTGTCCACATCTAAAGGGTATTAATTACTTCATACCCTTTTCCAAAGCATTTGCAAACTTCTCTTGAAAAGTATTATACAACAATACCACACTTACCATTTAACATTCACTTTAATTTACTGCTCACTCACTTAGGCTGATCAGCTAGGTAAAAGAATGAGAACTTACCCTTTGCAATCAAAACATCTGTGTAGAAGATGTGATATTGTGAATCCTTGCAAATTTTAATCAGTGCTTTTGCAATCATGAGAAGATCCCTGAGGGTTTCTTCTTTTGAGAGGTCTTTAGTAGCAACAAGCTCAGTTAATGCAGTCCTGCCATGCTGTAGAAGCCATTGAGTGATCAGTCCTTGGGCTTCATGCTTTAAAGACAGGATTGCTGGGATCACTACTCCTGCCTCCACCTTCAGAGCTGAGATCAAATCTTGCACTGCCTCCTGTGTAAAAACAAGATGAAAAAAATAAATGGTAGCAATAGCTACATATTGATAATTTGTTCTTTCAGATGCTTTCAGTTCTCTGTCCCATAGGTCAGCTGCACACTTTTGGAAGCTCTTTGCTCTTCCTTGTGCTGCATCTTTTGGAGATGCACCATTTCAAATTCACTGTAGGACAGGTGTGATATGCAGGTAAAGTGTAAAGCTATTGACCATATTAGAAGCAGATAAACCATGCAAACACCTGACATGATTTCCAGGCAACGATAGACTGCAATCTCCAAAGTCCACTGTAACACTAATTGCACACAAGAGCTTTTCACAGATGCAGATGGACTCACTAAACCTTCAAACTGCTCTTTCTTTGTCCTCTTGTTGTTGCTACATTTGATCTAACATAACATCATGTCATGAAAATGTGAGATCAAATATAGGGGAGTTTGCAGCACTGCAAATCAATGCATGGTAGTGACAGTGAGAAAGATCTGTGATTAAGGATTAGTCTTCTTCCTCTCTCTAGACTTGGCACAACAAATCAGTAATGTCAAGTGGACTAACTGTACACCCAGACAAAACAAAAGCCTTCACTGACCAAATTCTGTGAGAAACTCTTGATTTCAATGAGTGTGTGACAAAGCCTGTGGTACTTTACACTAATATTGCTTATTACTGTCAGAAAAATCACCAGCAATTCAACATAGTGCTAATACCTTCTGCTGCTTCAGAGCCAGGTAAATGAATCCTCGTCCACTCAGAGCTTGCACGTTCCTAGGGTCCTCCTTTAGGATGGCGTTAAAATCAAAAATAGCAGTTTTCTTCTGACCAAGGCGCCCATAGCATTGAGCCCTGATGAGAAGACAATCTTCAGCATAACCACCTGGAGGAGAGAAATGCAGCTGTGCTTACTTGAAAGATCTTGAGTCTACTGCTCTAAACCAGGGTGCAGTAAATCACAGTGTGTGCAGACCACTAAGCCCCACCACAGGGCTTCGAAGTGGCTAAGTGAAAACGATGCAGTAGACCTACACTTTGTGTTATGGTGACTGCAGGAGTGAAAATTAAGTACCACTTTATTCAGAGCTGTAGTAAGGGTGGAATAAGAGGGGTGTGCTGGATGGAGGCAAGTGTGCTATGGTAAGGAACTGCAATCCACAGATGGGACGGCAAGAAGAATAAGCAGCCCCATTTCAAAGAGTTTTCAGTCTAGTTAAACATGCCAAAATAACATTGGAATGAAAAACTGAATGAGTGGAAAAGGTAAGAGAATGAAAATCATAATATCACATCACTCAACTAGCACAAAAACTTCCTGGTTTCTAGTAAAAACAAATACACATGTCAATCAACACTGTCTCTCCTCAAATACCCATGACTGCTTTTCTGAGTGCCTCAAGGTCTCAGCAAGAGTGGGTCTCCTCAGGAACAGACAATGGAAGAAAAAGGAGTGGCCTGCAATTATTAAGCACTCAACCTTCCCACACAGGCAATGTTTTTTCCTACCTTCTCTGGGATATCTAGACTCAGCCAGCTGACAGTATAGAGAAATCCCACATTTGCCAGTTGTCAACAATGAAAATCATGGTCCATTCGTTCACAGGTTGCAGTGCATATAACTTTCTGCTATCCATATGCCCCTTCTTTTCAAGGCAATTTTGAAAATGATCTTAATTTGCTCAGGCCTGCAATCAATAACTGTGACATCCCAATACTGGATGATAAATCATCAGTGCCACTGTAAATATTTCTTCATAGGGAGGTCAGCAAACGCAGTGTCTTGCACAGCTGCCTGCAGAGATGAGCCAGCAGCTAGGCTCCTAGCAATTCTTTTACAGTAATGAAGCTTTTTCTCCCTCCTGATATGCTCCAAAACTTCTATACCAAAGGTTATTATCGCTCTGGAGCTCTATCAATTGACTCCTGTAAAGACAATATCTATTTCTTAACAAGCATCTGTTCTAGCAGGTGGGGAGTTGATAAGCTGGAATGCATGGGCTGTGAAATGGAACCATCTCAAAGCAATTAACAGTGTTGTTTGGTTTTTTTTTTCCATTTTCATAAAACAATCTCTCTTTTTCTCAGTGCTGCTGTCATAACATTTGCTCAGAGTGAAAGGCAGATTTCCATATGATCATGGTTTTACTTGAAACCAGTGCCAGAAGCATTTCCATGTTAGCCTGATCTCTCCCCTTAGGAGAAGTTAAGATAGTGCTGCATGTAAATAGGTGCATTCACTCTTTTGCACTGGGAATACACATTCACTGGTGTGTTGGAACAAGAAGGCAGGTTGTTTGCTGCAGGGACTGTATTTACAGCGTGTTCATTCTGATGAAACAGAAGGTACCACATAAATTTCACTGGTAGGAAGGTTTTCAGGGTACTAACTGATGTAACAAACTAAAGGGAGCCTTCTGCTTCTACACTGCTTGTCTAAAATGGGCTGAAGCTGGCTCTGTTTCAGTAGCTTTTCCAAATTACATACCAGCTAGCATCTCCTCTAAAAGTTACATAGAACAAATAGGATGAAGGCTTCTCTCTTCTGAAAGGGGGATTTCCTTCATCTAGATGATTTTGCAAAGTGTCCCTTCATTCACACTCTTTCAAGGACTAACTGCTCACAGGGTCAAAATTTCCCTCTCATTTATCACAAGTTTAGCTTTGATCTCTTTAAGAAACAATTATATTGTATTTTCAAAGCAGCTCTCATCTCTTTCTAGATCAAGTTTAATTTTCCGAGTAATTATTTCCAAAAATATAGTCATCCAACCTAGCAGGTGAACAGGATCAAAAAGCCCTGGCTTCTCTTGACATTACCAAGGCTTCTGGCTTACCTCGCTCACCTATGTACAGTTACTTACTGAAAAATCAAGTTTTATAGAAGGAAAAGTATTTCTGTAGGATTAACCTTGAGACTTTTCCCTATATTTTGAGCATCTATCTCCCTACATTAAGTACAGAAGAATCCCCCTGCCGTTCAGCTTTTCCTTTACCAATGGAAGAACAGCATTACACTGCTTATCTTAAAGGGTCTTTTTTTAAACCACAGTGAAGAAGGAAAGCATGGCACATAAAAAGGAAAATAATCTAATTGCTCTGGGAAGATAGCACTGCCAACATTAAAACAGGTAATTTGTTCAACAGCACAGATGTACTTGTGAGAAAAGCTATCACTATATGTAGGAAAAAAAATATGGTTACAGATCAGTTTTTCCAGACCAGTTACTCAGAAGCAACCAAGCAGTAATTGCAGTCTGATGTTTGGTAGCAGGTCTACCATTAAAAGACTGCAAAGTGTCAAAAAAGAGACATACATTGTGTTTCCTGTACACTCTACACATTATATTTCTGCAGCAGGAAAAACAGGGAAATGATTAGCTCAGAAATTTCAAACCACCAGCTGGAAGTAGATGGGTTCAGGATGTTAAAGATCTTTTCCAGGTTATGAAGGAATTGTGGGTTCTCTGTGTTGATAGGACTCGGCAAGAGTGGTTTATGCCTCAACTTTTAGCATGTGAATGATGCAATTTAAAATAAAACTCAGCTGTACTCCAAGAGCATTTTATGTACTAAACAACATAACAAAATCATGCACTGGGTCTTCTGGACAGGTGAAAAAAAGGGGCTGATGCCCCTGTAGAACTGAACTGAACCCTTGCAACCCACTTAAGGAGTTCATATGCTACTTACAGGATAGCAAGAACTGCAGTCACTGTTCAATTGCACTATTTCATGGTCCAGATGAGTTGCTCCTTTAAACAAATTTTATCCCGCTCTTCGCCTGCCTTTGTAAGTCTACTGTTTCAATCTTCTCATTGGGGAAATGACAGATGAGAACTGGTTGGGCATGCATGCCTACTCACTGATCTGATTTCCCATAGTAGTAAATCTCCTATCAGTATCTTGATAACCCTACCTGAAGCAATGATGGCAAAGGAAAGATATGCAATGGCCTCTTTGATGTCAGCATCCTTCCGTTTGTCCTTTAAGATGGCCAGCGCTCTTAAATGGCAGTGAGTCTGCATCAACTTCCTGTCTTCATCTTTGAAAATGTCCATGATTGGCAGGAGGCAGGAGGTATCTCCAATTCTGATCACTTTCTTTAGCAGCTGAACCATGTGAGAGAAAAAGGCAGAAGAGAAATATTGTCATGAAAAGATAAATGAAGTCATGCTGAAGCTGGAAATAGTCCTGTCTAGTGAGAGAAGTATGCTCTTCCCCAGTGCTTCCCCACATTTCACTAGGGCTTCAGCCAGCCATGGTCCTGCCAAGGACCATGACTCTCTCTCCCTTAACTCCTGCGCCAGCCCTAGTTTAAACGCATGTTGGAAAAAACATTACTACTTATCTTTTCTCACCCCCACTGCAGCTGTGGAAATCATTCTGGGGAAATACATAATGCTGCTTTGCTTACTTTGGGCAGCATCTGTTCCAGACTGGCAGAACTGTTTTTATAAATACAGCTGAACCTCAAAGAAAGAAAGTTTCTGTGGAACAGGATTCCTGTGACACCTTTTGACTGTTGATTTGAAACCAGTGAATTAATGGAAAATCAGTGAAGTGCAGCAAATCATACAAAACTTCTTTGTTTCGTAGGGAGTAGTGAAGTGGTGACAATAAAACCTTTCTCTTTATGGCTAGAATTTATATGAGATTTTTAAAAAGCAATAGTTCCCTCTGATGGCAGAACCTGGTAATTCAGCTTTATAATCCTTAGTAGGAGAATCAACATGTTGGAATCTTTTTCATGGTTTCAAGCACAAGTCATTAGCCATTAAAGAAAGAAAACTGCAGACCGATATCTGAGCTTCTGGTTTTGTTTCTTTCCCCAGTCCCCTCTACCATGCTTCATTAGGATAATCAGTTAGGTAGTAGTTCTGCCTCCTTTTCTCTAGGGGAAAATTACCAATCTCATCAATATTGTCACCAGGGGCAGGATGCTCAGTCATGCTCTGCCTAGTTAAAGTCTCTGATGAAAAGTGCCATTAAATAGCATGTGATGAATGGGCTGTATTTAGCCAGGAGCCCTCGTGTGGCCTGGGCTACAGACAGAAAATCCTGCTTATGAGGCCTGTATTTACCAGTTTACCACCATTCCTGAGAAATGCCTTGGAGCACAGGTTGGGGTAGGTGCAGCCCCATTGGAAAACCCATCACAGGTTGTGTGATGGGGTGAGTTCCAACTCTGCAATGTGTGATGAAGCGGCCTCATCATGCAGCTTGTACCCAGAGCCTTACAGTTGTCATATAACACTGAGAAGCAGGAGACAAGCAGGGCGCTCTGCTGGGAAACTGAAAGCCCTTGGAACACCCTCTGGCAAGCCTGTGTCTCTAAAATGGTCTCTCTTAAGTATCTTTCTGATACAGAAATGCATATTCTGTGTCAGCCAAGAGGGTTGTTAACGCTCTTCACCATATCATCATCACTCATCACTCTCTCATTCTCTCTGCTAGCCAGGTGCTCCTTACCTGGTTGCCATCATACACAAAACCTTTCTTCAATTGCAGAAGTGCGAGTCTAGCCAGGATGGGAGACCCTTGTGGATTTTTGGAGAGTGATAGCAAGAGGAGCTTGTGGGCTTCTTCTACACAGCCCATCTGGTACAGGGCATCAGCACAAAGGATCCGTGATGGTTCATCAGAAGTGTCCAGCTCCACCAAGAGAGAAGCCAGCTGGTAAACCCCAGGGGCATCTCTGGAGGCAAAATAATAAAGAAAAAGGGAAAGACTATCTTCAGGGAAAAAATGCTAGTGAGAGTAGTGAGTAATGGAGCCTCTTTGTCTCACCTGGAAGCTAAGAAGCAGGTTATCAGTCCAGTATCAAAGTGGATGATACATTTTACCATGTCCAGCACCACAGATACCTCTGCCACTTAATTCCATAATTCCTCTTTATAAAAACATGTTCTTAAGCACTTGTGGCTCTCAAGAAAGGTTAACAAATCATGATTCATATCTCTGGTTGCAGCGGATACCACAATTGGAAAAGGAAAAAGTAACAGTGACAGTGAAAAAAACCCAGAAGATTGCTATTTCTAATGAAGAGCTGCGTGTCAGAATTTGCACGCACTCAGGTCTGTGTCAACAGGGAGCTTCTTGTTCCAGAAGCAGCATCTAAGGGGGCTTGTGTGTGCCCCGATCTGCCAGTGCAACACTGAATGAGTCAGCACATCTTTCTGTTCTTCAGTTGTACCCCTGCAGTGCAGGCCCCAAGTACTGGCTGTGAAATGTGCATCATGCAACTGAAGAAGAAGGCCATAGTAGTACTAGAATTATTAAGAGACTAAATAAATGTGGGTATCAGCTGTAAAGAGTAGCCACCTGAGATGAACTTTCACATGCTATTTCCCACTTCAAATTTGCAAGTTTTCCCCTGAAATATTAGTATTTTACATGAGGAAAAACTGAGCAAGTAACATAAAAATTCAGTTTTAGGAAAAGTCTTCCATTTTCTCCAAGGGTGGTAACAGACAAACTTTGAAAATGAAACACTGCAACTTTTACATTTAAATAGTAACTTGTTTAGTGTTGGAAGAAATAAAAAAAACTAATGTATATATTACTTTGATGAGCAATCTTTGCTGACCTTTAGAAAGATGATTTCAAGTTTTAAAATTAAAAAAAAAAAATTAAGTAAATCCCTCTGTTCTACCTTCAAACTCAGGTTTTAATGGATTTATCTGGAATAGTTTGGTGGTGTTGTCTCAGATCTCCCAGTCTTAAATATGACATTAATACAGTTAGCATTGAAAAAAGAATTTGGATTGCCAGCACCAAGTACATGCATAGTAGCAGCTCAGCTCTGTGTTGGAAGGACACTTTCTAGGGGTTGGGTACTTCATGGCCCCCCAAATCCTTCAGTTCTCAGAGCTGAGAGTGAAAGGTGCCAACTAGCACCAATGAACCTGTTTTATTATGGGTGTATCTACTCCTTTAGAGGAGAAATCTCTGACATATTCCCTCTAGCATTTTGCTCTCTCCTAGCTCAGGCCAATCGCTATGTCATGGATTAACTTCCACAGAAAGACTGAGCTGATTTGGCTACGTGGATCCTCTCGCATTCTGACATACCAGCAAAACAACATTCTGCTGGAACAGCCACACATATGCAGTTTTATTTCAACCTGTTAAGTTAATTATGAACTTTAAAAGGGTCTTTATCCTATTCTCAGTTGTCTGAAGCAAGTACCCTCTCTACTACCCAAGCTTCTCTCTTTCTGTTAGGAATCTGCACAGCCCCATTTCTTTTTCTCCCCACAGACTGAACTGCCTCCCAAGTACCTCTTCTTCTGGAGCATCTTCTGGCCCTCTTCTTGGAGAACCTTTAGCAGAAGTCCTCTTTGGTTCCACGGCACATAGGACTTGATTGTGAAGATGGTTTCTTCCAGCTTTAACTGGCAAGCTGTGATATAATCCAAAGCTGTCAAGTAATGGCTGCCACCAGAAATCCGGATAAGTCCACGCCCACATAAAGCTTTAATACAGCTGTTAGGATGTGGGGAATCATGCTCAATAACCTTTTGAAAGTCCTGCCGGGCTTGTTGGTGGTCATGAGTGTGGAGCAAGCAGAATCCTCGCAATGCTAAGAGAGTATTGTAGTAAGTTTTCTGCTCTGCTGCTAAGAGGTGGTCACAGATATCTAGGGCAGCTCTGATGTGTCCATGCAGGAGATGGCAGTCTGCTAGCCGAACGCTGAGCTCACGTTTGGACCCTGGGGAGATCTGAAGGAGGAACTGGATTGTCTGGATGACAGCAGGGAGCAGTTCAGTACCATGATTGCCTCTGAGTTCAGTCCGAGTACGCACAGCCTCCCTGTACGCTGCAAACTTCACCTCCAGAACAGTTCTAGCCTGTTCTTCTATCCTCTCAGTGTCATGTGGTGAGAAAAGCTCTTCAAAGTGTTTCATTGCCTGGGCTGGGGTTGCTGCAAAGGCTTCTGCTAAATCCTGCATCATTTCCTGCATCCGTCCACCTAAGAAGAAATATGCAGCAGCGCGTTCCAAACGCAGACCCAAAGCATCATCTCTGAGATTTTCATCAGCTGAGAAGCTCTTGAGGGCCTTGCTACAAACTGCCACACACTCCTCAAATTTACTTTTCTTCAAGAAGTAAGCTGCCTGCACCCTGCAAACCCAGATATCATCCGGTGCCACTGCAGACAGGAAGTCATAGCAGTTGCCCAGCCACTGCTCCAAGGAACTGCAGTCTGGGCTTCCTTTCTGGTATGTAGAGAGATAATTAGAGAAGGCCTGGATGACCTGTGGCAGGTGTTCCCTTTGCCTAGAACACACATAGGCCACTGCCTCAGCCCGATGCATCACAAAGGCTTGGATATAGTCCGCCACTCCCTTCCTAACTTGTGTCCCTAACAGCACCCGTGCCAACGCCCTCAGCAGCAGCAGCTCCATTGAATACTTTGGCTTGGCCTTGAGCAGGGTATTGCACTTACCCACCACCTCCTCTGAGCATCCTCGCCTGAGCAGGGTCTCCAGTTTATACACTGATGATACCACATTTTCAGGACTTAGAGTGGAGAGAAAGATGGCAGCTATTCCCACACTGAGGGAGACAACGGCCAGGTTCTCGCTCTGGATCTTGGGAATCTCATTCTTGCCTTTGCACCACATCTCCAGGGTGGCTATCACCTTCTCCCAGAGCCCTTTGTCCAAGGAGTTCACTTTCTGTACAGCTATGGGGGCACTGCAGCTGAAGGCAGCCATGTAGAATGCGGTGGCTCTTGGTAATTACTGCTGGGCAAGATGGAGGTCTCCTTCTTCGCAGAGCAGCGTAGCAAGCTCCTGAGGTGACATTTTCTGCACTTGTATCTTCACCAAGTGGCATCACACATGTCACGTGGCTAGTGCCTGTAAAACAGAAAATCAGTGATGTGAGGAGCTGTGGAGCTGAGGGGGTTTTTTTGGTTGGGGACAGATTTCCAATTGCCAGACACAAGCAAGCCCAGGTCCTTTGAAAAGCCAGTGTTCTGTCACTGACAAGCTTGTGAGGGAGCAAAGCCAAGAAAAGAAACACTACAGAGATCTTTAGTCCACAGATACATTAATGGTGGGCAGAAAGCAGCCCCACAACCTTGTCAGTGCTTCCTACCCCATGGATGTGGGGCAGGAGGTCTGCTAGGCATCATCCTCCCTGGCTGTGATAAATTTTTTGATAAATTTTTAATGATCAGACGGTTTTTCAGTCCTGGTGGTGGGCAAGGAGGGGACAGAAGAGCATCTCGATCCTTCGCCGCCGCTTGTTTTTCCTCCTTTGCCTTGGAGAGGCAGGAAAGGGAGAAGGAAATGTCCGCCCTCCCGCCCTCTCCCCCTCAGGATTTGGCGGGAAAGTTGCAGTTGAGCGGCAGGACCCGAGCGCCAGCGCCCGTCCCTCACTCAGCCCCACACACCTGGGTCTCGCGCTCCCGCTGAGGGGCCCTCACGAGCTGGGCGCGGCCGGGGAGAGCACAATTACCTGAGAGCGGGGGTCGG